GTCTTGAAATAACTGAGGTTCACTTGGCATTATTTAATTATTCTAAAAACGTAGAAATATTTGTGTGCAGGCATTCACGGTTTCAGTTATTATGGTAAAGATGGAAGTGAAGTATCTCAAAAAAACAACAAAAAAAACCTCCCCACAAATACTAAAATATCAAAAGTAAATCTTGCACATACATAATATCAGCGCATCTCCTGGCTTACCCTTTCCTCAGTAGGGAGCAGCAATCTTTAACAAGGAAATGTCCCCACTTTTCAATTGAATGTTCCTTGTTCCCCAACAACGTAAATGCTATTTCAGCATAAGGGTGAATAAGGCAGTGCAGGTAATATACAACTTGCCTTGTGGGTATCAAGCCTTGGACATGCTCACACTTGCCTACATCCCTTCAGCAAGAGCCATACATGCATACAGCATTGCATAGGTTAAGCTTGAAAGATGTGAGATATAAAATTTTTTTAAAAGTTTAATACCTGTTCCTGTATATCCTTTGGTTCGATAAGTGAATCTTCCTGCCAAAGATGATTTAAAGGAGCACTATAGGGTCAGGAACACAAACATGTATTCTTGACCCTATAGAGTTAAAACCACCATCTAGCCACCCTGGTCCCCTCATGCCTCCCTAAATATAGAAATCTTGCATTATCATGGTTTACTTTAGACCTGCTGACATCAGCAGAAGTGGTAGCCTGATCCAATCACAGTGCTTCCCCATAGGATTGTCTGAGACTGTCAAAGAGGCAGATCAGGGGCAGAGCCAGCACAATTCAAACACAGCCCTGGCCAATCAGCATCTCCTCATAGAGATGAATTAAATCAACGAATCTCTATGAGGAAAGCTCAGTGCATTTTAGACAGCCATGACCCAGGAAGGATCTCTAACAACCCTCTGAGGAGTGGCCAGTGAATTTATCACTAGGCTGTAATGTAAACACTGCATTTTCTCTGAAAAGACCATGTTTACAGCAAAAAGCCTGAAGGTAATGATTCTATTTACCAGAACAAATTCAATAAGCTGTAGTTGTTCTGGTGACTATAGTGTCCCTTTAACCCCTTAAGGACGGAGGGCGTACTATTACGCCCTGCAGGAGCCGGCTCTAAACGCCGGCGGGCGTAATAGTACGCCCTCACTTTAATGGCCGCCCCCGTGGCCGGCGCTATTCGCCCGCTGCAGATCGCGGTCGGGGGGGATGCCCGGCCCCCCAGGCAACCCCCCCTGTGGCCGGTGACCGCGATCTGCAGTCACTGATCGCAGTGACAGGCTGTCACTGCGATCAGTATTTAACGTGTGTCAGCCGATTTCAAATCGGCTGACACACGTGGCCGGCGGCTTTCTGCAATGCAGATCGCGGTCGGGGGACTTACCTGGCCCCCAGGCAGTCCCCCTGGGGTCAGTGACCGCGATCTGCTAGCTCTGAGATCGCAGTGACAGGCTGTCACTGCGATCTCAGAGCGCTCTGATCGCAGTGACAGCCTGTCACTGCGATCAGTGTTACATGTGTCAGCCTATTACATGTTACATGGCTGACACATGTAACAGGCACAAAGATCCCCCCTGCAGATTGGAAGGGGGGAGTGCTTGTACCACCCAGGCACTCCCCCCTGTGGCCAATTACCCAATCTGCAGGAGGTGATCACAGTGACAGGCAGTCACTGTGATCACTGATCCTGTGTGTCAGCCAGTGATGTAAAATCACTGGCTGACACTGTCTCTGCCCCCTGTCCTGTAATAAAAATAAAATATTAGTTAAAAAAAATTACAGTTAAATATAAAATATACTTAGATCATATATATTATATATATATATGATCTAAGTATATATATATATATATATATATATATACACACACACACACATTTACACATACACGAAGTGTATTTAAATATTAATATATATAATTATTTATATATATATTACTATCAAATTACACGTAGACTAATACTGATTAAATATATATATATATAATTATTGTTATATATATATATATATTTATATATAATATAAAAATGTAAATACGTAAAAAAATAAAATTAAAAAAATAATTAAAAATAAATAATAAAAAAAATATATAGATGTTTGTTATTTCGTTCTAACTGTATTGTGATATTAATATATATATATATTTATATCAAAATACACGTAGAACGAAATAATATATATATCTATATACATAAATATATACATATATATCACTAAATATATACACCTATATATAAATAAAAATATTTTAAAAAATTTATATATATATGTATATATACACATATGTATATATATACATATATTAATTCTACACATATATTTATGTAATATTTTTACATAATTAGGTATCCTAATTAATTACAATTAGCGGGACCTGCCTGACAACCCATGCCGAAAGTATAGGGAATTTAATTTGCTAGCACTATATTTAACCTTATAACTTTCCAAGACACCACATAAAACAGCAAATTGGGGGTACTGTTTTGCTTTTCAGGAGACTTAGCTGAATTTTAAATATTAGTGTTTCAAAACAGTAAAATGTATTACAACGATGATATCGCCAGTAAAAGTGAAGTTTTTTGCATTTTTCACGCACAAACAGCATTACACGGACAATATTATTGCTGTGATACTTTACTGTTTTGAAGCTAAATAATTCAGCAGCTCCAGCCCAATACCCTCATCTTAGGTTTACATGAACATTTTTTCTGGCGTCAAATATAAGGCTTGCGTTTCATTTTTTTCACATTAAAATTCGCCAGATTGGTTACGTTGCCTTTGAGACACTATGGTAGCCCAAGAATGAAAATTACCCCTATGATGGCATACCATTTGCAATAGTAGACAACCCAAGGTATTGCAAACGGGGTATGTCCAGTCTTTTTTAGTAGCCACTTAGTCACAAACACTGGCCAAAAGTGGCGTTTTTTGCATTTTTCACACACAAACAAATACTAACGCTAACTTTGGCCAGTGGCGATAAATATGCACTAAAAACTGGACCTTATTTACAACTACAACAGGTTATCTATTACAAAATAATATAAATATAGAGTGTAATTTCATTCCTGAACTACTATACAGTCTAAAGGCATGTGAAAAATCTAACGACCTATTTCAAATAATAACACGATGCTATATTTGACCCTGTAACTTCCCAAAACGCCATAAAACCTGTACATAGGGGGTACTGTCTTACACGTGAGACTTTACTGAATATAAATATGTGTATTTTATTGCATTAAAAGCAAACAGTATTATGACATTGACCGTTAAAATGTCATGTAGAACTAAAAAAATCCAAAAAAAACGTATTTTCTCCCATTTTTTTTCATATTAAATTATGTTTCATAGCTAAATATTTGATATTAAATGAAAGCCCTGTTTCCCCTGAATAAAATGATATATAATAAGGGTGGGTGCATTTACTATGAAAGAGGTGTATTACGGTTGGACAGACATGTAGCGCAAATGCCAGGTTTTGTTTACATTTTGTTTCGTTCACACTGTGTACATTTGGCTCCGTCCTTAAGGGGTTAAAGATGGCTAACCTCACAAGTATTTATTTTAAGGAAGGGGGGTGTAGTATTTGCAAGCTTTACAATGTAAATATTATTGGTGATGTAAAATTTATCAAATACTTGCCTGACATGATAAATCTTGATAAAGACCTACTGGTCGAAACGATTATATTTTGAATACAACACTTTTTACTTTTTAGACCAAATCCACTGAGTACTCTAATTTTTTTTGTTTTGTTTATATTATAAACGCAACACTTTTGTTTTTGCCCCCATTTTTCATGAGCTGAACTCAAAGATCTAAGACTTTTTCTACGTACACAAAAGGCCTATTTCTCTCAGATATTGTTCACAAATCTGTCTAAATCTGTGTTAGTGAGCAATTCTCATTTTGCCAAGATAATCCATCCACCTCACAGGTGTGGCATATCAAGATGCTGATTAGACAGCATGATTATTGCAAAGGTGTGCCTTAGGCTTGCTTTTCCCACAGGAATCACAAATTTGTAGTGATATTACTATCCGCAAAGGATTCTGGGCGGGCATATGCAAATTAGTTCAACAAAGAATATATAATTATTATTCTTTTTCTACTTTAGTAGAACAAACTGGATTTTGGCTTATAATATAAGTGCAGCCTTTTCACTATAACTATACAGGATGACCAGAATTCACGAAGAGATACACCCGGACAAGTAAACCATTGTCAGTTGCTTTAATCAAGAGAATTAAGAGGCAACTACCTGTCACAAAATGGTCATTGTTTAAAGTGTACTTGTCATTGTATACACAATACTTATACTAATGCATACTGTTTTATTTAAAAGCTTATTAAATTCCATCTATATATTCTGCTAGCAGAAATGCACAGATCTCGCTGTGCTGGTGGCACTGAGGGTCTAATAATGCCATGGAGAGTATGAGGATGACTGCTAATGCCAGATTCACTTTAAAAGAAAGTCTGGAATTTAGAGCATTTTCTAAATATATTCCCAAATTGTACTGAATTTCAAATTTGGGATTAAAATAGCTGACTCTGGAAAAATACAGCTTTGCCATTATAATATTATACACTCCATATTTTAGCAAATTGAATCCTAATGGCAAAATTTAGACTAAAATAGCATTGACTGAAGGAGAGAGAGAATCCCCCCCCCCCATTTTATCCATTGGGATTGAATTAGTTAAAATGGGTTTAGTGAATGACTTTGTATTTCAGATTGATTGTGTGCTTCTTAACTGGTTCATGAAATTAATCTTCCAGTACAGCACCCATCCTTCACAGGAACAGAGGGATGTAATGCCTGGGTCTAATATAACAATATGACCTCCATGCAGTTTAAAATAACTTTCTGTTGAACCGGTTCTGCCTACATGACTGACTGATTGATTGAATGAATATATAAATTTGTAGCATATAAAAATAAAGTAATTATTTATTTGCTGCACTGCTGTAACCCCTCTCTCTGCCTTTGATAACAATATGAGCATCCTGTGCTGCACTTGGACCATGAACAACTCTGACGTCATAGGGCTACCTGTCCTTTCCGCCTGTCTGGCTTCTGGACTGCGCACGGTGATCACGTGTCTCCTCCCACCCAATAGGACGGCGAGGATACGGCGGCCCAAGATGGCGGAGCGGGAAGGTGGAGATCGGAAATGGAGCACCACTGTCATAGTGAGCTCCTCTCTGCAGGTAACATCCATTACCGGTACATCACTCCGTGCTGCCACTATGGGGGTGTTATTATTTGGGTTCAGCGGGCTATAGTGGACATTGTATGTAATAAAACCTTATATTGTAATGGGTTAGCCATCCAGACATTATTAGTAATATACTATACTATATAGACATTATTAGTAATATTATATAGACATTATTAGTAACATACTATACTATATAGACATTATTAGTAATATTATATAGACATTATTAGTAACATACTATACTATATAGACATTATTAGTAATACTTTACAGACATTATTAGTAATACTATACTATATGGACATTATTAGTAATACTACACTATATAGACATTATTAGTAATACTACACTATATAGACATTATTAGTAATATACTATACTATATAGACATTATTAGTAATATTATATAGACATCATTAGTAATACTATACAGACATTATTAGTAATACTACACTATACAGACATTATTAGTAATACTATACAGACATTATTAGTAATATACTATACTATATAGACATTATTAGTAATATACTATATAGACATCATTAGTAATACTATACAGACATTATTAGTAATACTACACTATATAGACATTATTAGTAATATACTATACTATATAGACATTATTAGTAATATTATATAGACATCATTAGTAATACTATACAGACATTATTAGTAATATTATACTATATAGACATTTATTAGTAATATACTATACTATATAGACATTATTAGTAATACTATATAGACATTATTAGTAATATTATACTATATAGACATTATTAGTAATATTATACAGACATTATTAGTAATACTATACAGACATTATTAGTAATATACTATACTATATAGACATTATTAGTAATATACTATACTATATAGACATTATTAGTAATATTATATAGACATCATTAGTAATACTATACAGACATTATTAGTAATACTACACTATATAGACATTATTAGTAATATACTATACTATATAGACATTATTAGTAATATACTATATAGACATCATTAGTAATACTATACAGACATTATTAGTAATATTATACTATATAGACATTTATTAGTAATATACTATACTATATAGACATTATTAGTAATATACTATACTATATAGACATTATTAGTAATATTATATAGACATTATTAGTAATACTATACAGACATTATTAGTAATACTACACTATATAGACATTATTAGTAATATACTATACTATATAGACATTATTAGTAATATTATATAGACATCATTAGTAATACTATACAGACATTATTAGTAATATACTATATAGACATTTATTAGTAATATACTATACTATATAGACATTATTAGTAATACTATATAGACATTATTAGTAATATTATACAGACATTATTAGTAATACTATACAGACATTATTAGTAATACTACACTATATAGACATTATTAGTAATATACTATACTATATAGACATTATTAGTAATATTATATAGACATCATTAGTAATACTATACAGACATTATTAGTAATACTACACTATATAGACATTATTAGTAATATACTATACTATATAGACATTATTAGTAATATTATATAGACATTATTAGTAATATACTATACTATATAGACATTATTAGTAATATACTATACTATATAGACATTATTAATCTTCTCTCGTCATCTCATCATCTCTCGTTATGTCATATGTCATCATCTCTCTATATATGGATGTATATAATTATTAGTATATATAGTTATTAATATATATAATAACATACGAAGACATTATTAGTAATATTATGAGGCATTGTAGTTATACTATATAGACATCATTGTATGCTATACAGACATTATTAGTAATACTACACTATATAGACATTATTAGTAATATACTATACTATATAGACATTATTAGTAATATACTATATAGACATCATTAGTAATACTATACAGACATTATTAGTAATACTACACTATATAGACATTATTAGTAATATACTATACTATATAGACATTATTAGTAATATACTATATAGACATCATTAGTAATACTATACAGACATTATTAGTAATATTATACTATATAGACATTTATTAGTAATATACTATACTATATAGACATTATTAGTAATATACTATACTATATAGACATTATTAGTAATATTATATAGACATTATTAGTAATACTATACAGACATTATTAGTAATACTACACTATATAGACATTATTAGTAATATACTATACTATATATATAGGAGCAATTGAAGTAGTATATTATATAGACATCATTAGTATTACTATACAGACATTATTAGTAATACTACACTATATAGACATTGTGTATACTATACTATATGAGACATGTTATTAGTAATATTATATAGACATCATTAGTAATATATACAGACATTATTAGTAATACTACGCTATATAGACATTATTAGTATACTATATACTATATGGACATTGTGAAGTAATATACTATACTATGAATAATTAGTAATACTATATACAGACATTACATTAGTAATACTACACTATATAGACATTATTAGTAATATACTATACTATATAGACATTATTAGTAATATACTATATAGACATCATTAGTAATACTATACAGACATTATTAGTAATACTACACTATATAGACATTATTAGTAATATACTATACTATATAGACATTATTAGTAATATTATATAGACATCATTAGTAATACTATACAGACATTATTAGTAATATACTATATAGACATTTATTAGTAATATACTATACTATATAGACATTATTAGTAATACTATATAGACATTATTAGTAATATTATACAGACATTATTAGTAATACTATACAGACATTATTAGTAATACTACACTATATAGACATTATTAGTAATATACTATACTATATAGACATTATTAGTAATATTATATAGACATCATTAGTAATACTATACAGACATTATTAGTAATACTACACTATATAGACATTATTAGTAATATACTATACTATATAGACATTATTAGTAATATACTATATAGACATCATTAGTAATACTATACAGACATTATTAGTAATACTACACTATATAGACATTATTAGTAATATACTATACTATATAGACATTATTAGTAATACTACATAGACATTATTAGTAATACTATATAGACATTATTAGTAATACTATATAGACATTATTAGTAATACTATACTATATAGACATTATTAGTAATATTATATAGACATTATTAGTAATACTATATAGACATTATTAGTAATACTATACTATATAGACATTATTAGTAATACTATACTATACAGACATTATTAGTAATATTATATAGACATTATTAGTTATACTATATAGACATCATTAGTAATACTATACAGACATTATTAGTAATACTACACCATATAGACATTATTAGTAATATACTATATAGACATCATTAGTAATACTATACAGACATTATTAGTAATACTACACTATATAGACATTATTAGTAATATACTATACTATATAGACATTATTAGTAATATTATATAGACATCATTAGTAATACTATACAGACATTATTAGTAATATTATACTATATAGACATTTATTAGTAATATACTATACTATATAGACATTATTAGTAATACTATATAGACATTATTAGTAATATTATACAGACATTATTAGTAATACTATACAGACATTATTAGTAATACTACACTATATAGACATTATTAGTAATATACTATACTATATAGACATTATTAGTAATATACTATATAGACATCATTAGTAATACTATACAGACATTATTAGTAATACTACACTATATAGACATTATTAGTAATATACTATACTATATAGACATTATTAGTAATACTACATAGACATTATTAGTAATACTATATAGACATTATTAGTAATACTATACTATATAGACATTATTAGTAATATATAGACATTATTAGTAATGCTATATAGACATTATTAGTAATACTATACTATATAGACATTATTAGTAATACTATACTATACAGACATTATTAGTAATATTATATAGACATTATTAGTTATACTATATAGACATTATTAGTAATACTACACTATATAGACATTATTAGTAATACTATATAGACATTATTAGTAATACTATATAGACATTATTAGTAATATATAGACATTATTAGTAATATACTATTTAGACATTTATTAGTAATGCTATACTATATAGACATTATTAGTAATATTATATAGACATTATTAGTTATACTATACAGACATTATTAGTAATATTATACTATACAGACATTATTAGTAATATTATATAGACATTAGATCTCTCTCCCCTTGTCTTGTGCCTACCCTAACACACATCTTTAACTGCTCTCTCTCTCTTCTGGCACTGTTCCTGCTGACCTTAAACATGCCACTTTAATATCTATCCTTAAAAAAACATCTCTTGACCCATCCTCCCCTTCTAACTATCGTCCCATATCCCTGCTCCCTTTCTCATCAAAGCTTTTGGAAAGACTTGTCTTTACTCGTGTGCCCCCCTCCCTAATTCCAACTCTCTCCTTGACCCTCTTCAGTCTGGCTTCCGCCCTCTCCACTCTACTGAGACTGCTCTTATCAAAGTGACTAATGACCTAATCTCCGCTAAATCCAAAGGTCACTACTCCATATTAATTCTCCTTGACCTCTCTGCTGCCTTTGACACCGTTGATCATGCTCTCCTCCTTCAAACTCTTCAATCGCTCGGTCTCTGTGACTCTGTCCTCTCTTGGTTTTCCTCCTATCTCTCCCAACGCTCATTCAGTGTCTCCTTTTCCAAGGATACCTCCTCCCCTCGTCCTGTCTCGGTTGGAGTTCCCCAAGGGTCTGTCCTTGGTCCCCTTCTATTTTCTCTTTATACTGCCTCTCTTGGTAAACTTATTGCCTCTTTTGGATTCCACTACCACCTGTATGCTGATGACACTCAGATATACCTCTCCTCCCCGGACCTCTCCTCTGCCGTCCTGCAACGTGTCACTGCTTGCCTTTCTTCCATCTCTGC